GGCGCAATGTGTGATAGATCTAACCAGAATGCTGGCAAGCATGTAGTTCTGATGTGCGAAATTCGTCAACAAGTTGTCGCTCCATATCCAAAATGTTTTATTCTCTAAACTAAACTTGCTTTTCTGCGCATCATAGGACTATAGTAAACCAAAGTAACGTCGCATACACTCCTTGCTAATCACCCAGATTCCAGTCAGTGTATATCGTCCCCATCTTGCTGACTTTTCACTTCCCTCTGTGCGCGCGCGCGGTTGGGTATGCTGCCCTCCTCTTCTTTTTTAATTCGCCTCCCCCCTCATTCTCTTTACCCTCTTCTAGTTGTCAAGTGTGTCATTGTGGCCAGTCCAGGCTTCCTGCGCGAACAGTTCTTTGAATACCTCTTCCAAATGGCTACTAAGGAAGAAAAACGGGTCTTTTTGGACAACAAGGGCAAGTTCATGCTGGTACACTCTTCGTCAGGTCACAAGCATGCTCTGAAGGAGGTTCTCAGCGATCCGCTGGTGCTCAGCAAGATATCCAACACGAAGGCCGCTGCTGAGATAACTGCCCTTAACGACTTCTACCAGATGCTCAAAATGGACTCTTCGAGGGCCTTCTACGGGTAGGTTTGCAGCTGCCCTCCCCACCCCTCTTGGTGACTGTTTATTTTCTTCTCCTGATCGCTTTCACTGTCGTCATGGTGAATTCTGATAAATGCGGCTACTGATAATTATTGTAGGCATGCGCTTTTTGTGCCTGCGACTGTCCCTGATGATGCCTTCGCATGGGTGTCCGAAACGTCAGGCCACCAAATTAACTTCTTTCTCCTGTGATTGTATCTCCTTCGGAATCCAAGAAAGGCTCTTAGATGTAGTTGTAGATTCTTTTTCTGCATCGACTCCGTGTTGTAATACGCTCAACGCGTCTCCAGCGGACTGAAAAGAGAAGCAATGTACGAACCTCGTTCCGTTCACACCTCAGCTTGACACGTGCCAGTTGGGTTTTGTAGGTTATTATCAGAACTATTTCATCCAACTTATGCGCGCGCACGGTGTCACGAGGTCGTCAAACTCGCGTTTTCTGGCACAGTAGCGTGGTGCGCGTGATTGTAAGCGTGATGATGGTGGTGG